GTACTGGCCCCTGCAGTACTGGCCCCTGCAGTACTGGCCCCTGCACTCCTGACCCCTGCACTCCCCCCTGCAGAGCTTCTGGCCGAGCACCTCCAGGAAGTTCGCACCCTGAGGTTACGGCTCGAGGAGACGATTCGTACCAATGACCGGCTCCGGGACCAGCTGGAGCGCAGGCTGGCCGAGGCTGAGAGAGACCCAGGTACGGGCCGAGTCCCTCCCCGGGCCGGCCGCAGGCCCGAGTCCTGCCTGACCTCTGCTCCAAACAGCATAACTTAATCTCCATTAATGTGCCTCTGCTGGCTTCTATTTGAATGTTCAGCAGCGACAAATATCTTCATCCATGGGGCTGAGGAGCAGAGCCAGCTGGCGAGCGAGATCCGATTCCTGCGGAGCCAGAACCAGGCCCTGAAGGAGCAGCTGAGCACAGCCGCCAGAGGTCAGTCCCACAGCAGATGGTAATGCTTGATGTCATACACTTATCTGAAGTTTCATTCTCATCGGTCATAGTGTAAAGGACAGTAAAATAAATAGAATATAAATACTAAGACTTATAAGCGTGATTTATTAAGACAGAGAAACGCAGTTAACCACCTGATTGGTGGGTTTGAGCTTATCAGCAGACACTCAGTTTTGGGGCTGAATGTGCGACTCCTGTCCTGCGACAGACAAGCAGAGGGAGAGCGAGAAGCTGCGGGAGTCTCTGGCCAGGAGGACGGCCAGGCTGGAGGTGCTGAGGAGCGAGCTGGAGGAGCAGAGGCGGGAGAACGTCCGCACACAGAGTCGGCTGACCGGCACCGCAGAGGAGAACCGGCGGCTGCAGGAGTCCGTTCAGCGCGGCCGCGACGAGATCCACAGGCGGGTGCCCTCCGACGTGCCGGGCGTGCCAGCCACCGCCCCCCCCCCCTCCCAGTACCCCGTATGGTAACCCCGTCCCCTCTCTGTCACCACAGGATACAGGCAGAGATGAGCGTGCAGAGACAGCAGCTGACGGACAGCCAGCACCTCCTGAAGTCACTGCGCATGGAGCTGCAGGTCAGCCAGCAGACGAGGACTGCGGCTGACAGACAGCGTGGTGCGTGTCACAAGTGCAGCTTCTCCCTGGGTTCGGGGTGGCGAGTGGCTCTGTGGGTCTGGACAGCAGAGTGATGTCACCAGCAGCTCCTGAGCATGGCCCTTAACCCCTGATGTCCCCAGGAACAGGCTGACCATCTCCATTCTACATAACAGCTTCTGCTAAAAAATAATGTAAATGCAGAGCTTTAAGCCACCTGTGAAGCTTAAATAGCTTAAATAGAACAGCCTTTCCGCTTTTATGGAGGGTACTGTGGCAGGGCCACTTCTGGGACGTGTCCATGTTACTTATTTATCAGACATGAACCAGCAGTTGTTAGTGACCTAAACGACAGTGTAGCTCATCTGCTATTTCCTGGCAAAATCAGTCATTTCCATACACAATATATTTATTAACTTTATCGTATATTTAATGTTCCTGTAGGTATTTTTTTCGTACATACACTGAACTTTTTGCCAAAGAAGTAAAAGAACATTTTATTTCATTGGCTCTTTATGTCTCGTCATCTGGCTCTATGGCTCCTGAAACACTCATCGGCTGACCTGAGTGTCTCATTGGCTGACCTGAGTGTCTGTCCCGCTCAGGAGCAGTGAATCTGATGGTTATTCAGTTTGTCCTCAGTCAGTGCCCTTTGACAAAGGCAATAAATATTAAAAATGTTCATGCGGTAATGTTTCGGTTTGAGGTTAGAATGATGGAAAATTACTGGATATTTGTTTTTGTATATAAAGTTCAAAGAATTTAGTTTGTTTCTGAGTAATATAATGTTTAGCATATTTTCTGATTTATATAAATATTACTAAACAAAAATAGACAATATTAGTTGGTATTTCCAGTTTTACTGTACAAAGCAGTAATACATCTTTTGGCAAAATATATTTTATTAATACAAGCTGAAAGCAGATAAAGTGAGCAGGAAACTTTTACTGTTGCTTACTAATACTGGTACCTGTAGTATTAATACCATTACCCTGCACTCCCCCGGGTCCAGGTTTTATGCTAAAGCTCTTTCACTGAACTGCATGTCAGGTGTTTAAAAATTGTGTGACAGTCATTTTCTCTTATTTTCTATGAGATTGTTGTTGTTCTGAAGTGATACACAGTTTGCTTTGTCTGTGTTGTTTTCCCCAGGCCTTCAGCTGTCATGAAGATCTTTTTATTTTCACTTTTCACTTTTTTCTTACTTTCATTACCTTGTGTAATGAAACTATACATAGAAACACGTATAACTGGCTGTTATCATATGATGATACAGAAAATACTTAATTAGCAGCCGCTTGTTTCCAAAACAAATTTTTATTTTTGAATGCAGGGTCTCACTGTCCCTGAATCAGCCAAGGGCCTACCTTAAGGGCCTACCTTAAGGGCCTACCTTAAGGGCCCAGCAGTGAAACCACTCTGCTGACTGTGGGATTTGAACCAGTGACCTTCCAGTAACAGGAATTGCATCCCCCCCCCCCCATTTTTTTTTTAATAGTACTTTGATTTTATTAATCAGGAATAAGTATGAAGGTGAACAATCAGTTTGGAGATGGTTGCCATTGACATGATCGTATTTTTCTGTCTGTCCGTGTCAGATCCCTCCCAGGAAGCACCGACTCCGGGGGCCGGGAGCCTGGACCTGAACGAGCTCCTCTCTGAGATCCGGCATCTCCGGCTCCAGCTGGAGAGGAGTATTCACACCAACAACGCCCTACGGCAGAAGCTGGAGGAGCAGTTGCTGAGAGGATCCACCCAGCAGGACGCCTCACCCTCCACCATCAACATCAACTACCTTCTGTCTGCGGAGTCGAGGCCCCCCTGCCGCGGCCGTGGGGGAGGTACGGAGCAGCCGTGATAACGTCTCGCTGTGCCGGGCCGCTGCCGACTTGCTAAAGCCATGGCTTATGTTTCAGATGAATCCTCAGCGCAAGATGTCGGTGACTTGAACCTTCCATCTGTCAGAGTTTCCTCAGACATCCTTTATGGTGTGTTACACAAAGCTTGATTTCCACTGGTAGAAGTAAAGGAGCCCAAAATAGCTCTTTGTAGACCAGTTTTTAACATCCACATAACAATGTTTTACTGGTTAAGAAATATGGAAATTAGAGTGGAAAGTTTTAGTGTTGCTGTAAAAAAACTTATGCTGACTGTTCTGGCTTTAGATATCGGTGGGGAGGTGAGGAGGAGTTCAGGTCGTATGTCTCAGAGCAGTGGAAGTTCTGCAGACAGCACCTCCACAAAACCAGCCCGGCTCGTCCCCGGCCACCACCTTTGGGCCAACAAAAATGGCCGGCACGTCTTTGGCCTCATCGAGGACCACAATGCCCTGCGCAAGCAGATTTCTGAGGGAAGGAAGTTGATTGTCAGGATGGAACAGCACCTTCAGGAGTGTCTCCAGGCTCTGTCCAAGCAGGACTCAAAATCCACAGTAAGGGCACTTTTCCACTGCACTAACTTTCACTTTTCCTTCTTGCTGTGAGGCAGCAGCACTAACCACTGCACCACCATGCCGCCCCCGATTGTAAGAACATATACAACAAAAACAGCTGGATGACATGACAAGAAATTAAAAAGTATTTTGTTGAATATACTAGGGCTGCTACGATTAGTCAACGTTGTCAATGACGTAGACGCTGAAAATGCGTAAAAATCGATATTTAAATTGACACATTTGTTTTTTAAGATTATTTTAAATAAATTACCTTTATGACCTCTAAAATGTTTCATTATAATGAATAAATCCTTTAAAATCACTCCGTAATTATGGAAGTAGTTCAAATTATCACGAAACAAAAAGGTGGTTTGCACACCTTGCAGAGTGTGATGACATACTACAGGGGCACTAGTGCTATGCATGAGCACCTGAAAAGAAAACACACAGGCGCTATTCTAGATGATGGAACGCCAGAATAGGCAAAACTAGCAAAAGTGTTTTCTGTGTTGGTACGGAGAGCTTTTGTCCTTTTAACTACTAAACACACTCATCATTAAAACCATAAACTTGTCTACCTGCTTCCCTTTGAATAAGTGTCTAAGAAAATGTTGATGGTAAAATACAGGCTTATTCTGCGTTGATTGACGGCGTCAGTGTACGCGTTCATGCGTGCTAGACTTGTTGGGACTCAGGGTTATCAACTTTGCTCACCTGGATGGAATGAGATTTTAAATTTGTGAAATTGTAAAAGTATGTTTGCAAAAAAGGGTTTGCAAATTTAGGGGCAGTGTGTGGCTCAGTGGGCTAAGCCTGTGTGCCTGTGATCACAAGGTTGCCGGTTCAAACGCCTCAGCACGTCTGTGGGTCCTTGAGCAAGGCCCTTACCCTCCAGCTCCCTGGGCGCCGCTACGGGTGGCTGCCCTTCACTGCCAGCTTACTCTACAAAGGGCAAGTTGAGGGAGGCGTAAAGACAATTTCCCCACGGGGATCAATAAAGTATCGATTATTAAACTACCCCAAAGCTTTCAATGTGGTTAATTTTAGGTTTATAATGGAATAAGACAAGAATTGGAATGTGTGTGAGTTGGCAACCCTGGGGCCCAGTGCTGTTATCGTAAACTAAAACTGAAACGAAAAAACGGACACTAAATAAAAGAAAATAGTTTGTGAAATGAAATAAGAATGAAAACTATATTTAGCAAAAAAAACATAGACTGCAAAAAGTGCCGCTACTTGCCAACGTCATTTACCCTGTTTAACCACAATATCTCCTCTTTTAAAAGGTGTTGTGGCTGTTGAGCTGTTCCTTTCTTCTCCGTGACTTCAGTATGCTACTTTCGCTTTCATGGTATACCAAAACAGTTGCATGTGGTGTGCTCAGCTAAACTAATTAATGAAGCATAAGGATACGCCGAATTTATACATCTTTCTCGAAGTACCAAAAGCATGGCATCTGGTGCAGTGGAAAAATGCCCCAAGTCTCCCGTGAAGGTGCGACGGATGTGAAGAGGAGGCAAGATGGCCGACTGACTCAGCACAAACTTACCTCTTTCCTATTTGTCAGGTTCTAGATCAGCAGCTGCTCAAAGGCTTTTCTACAAACATCAATACGATGCAGCAGGTCCTGGAGGAAGCTGCTCGCCTGCTTAGGCTGCTGTGGAGAGTCTCCATTCCAACATGCTCCTGTGCTGAGGGCTGTCAGGGCATTCAGGTGCCTGCACAGGGCCCAGACTCCGTTGGGCTTTTCTGGCCTTATCATCAATTACACCACGCAGATGCTTTTCATTGTTTAATTGTGGTCCTTCTCATTTCAAAATGTAGGACGAGGCCTTAAAGAATGAAATCGCGCGACTTAAGGCCAAGTTAAGCGAACAAGACAGGTTACTGTTGGGAGCAGTGAAGAGGCTTCGCAACACCAACCAGCTGAAGGAGGGAATGGAGAAGGTCATCATTGAGCAGCGTAAGTGAACATAAATCACGTATGTGTTTGGTACCTATACTTAACAGAAGTCATTTTAGTAAGAGAAATTTACATTTCATTGTAGTTTTCAATGCTTTCCTCATAGTGTCATTAACCCATGATGTACTGAAGAAAGCGAGAGGTAACTTAGAGGTGAGTGATTCACATTTGCATTGATTTCAATAACCATGATATTCAATTTTGGTTAATTATAGTTTGAGTCAATATTTATGGTGACTTTCTTTAAAACTAATGTTTTAATGTACAACTTGAATATCCCTATTATACATTTTATATAGATTTTACTAGGAGTTTTGTTGTGATCATTTTATTTTGTCCCCCTTGACATGGCACCTGTTTTTGTATGAGCGATTACAGACAAATTATTGTGCACGTTTTGGCCTTAAAGGCTTACCAGGACCAACTAAAGGTCAGTTTTTTAATCTGGAGGTCCCTTCCATGCATGGGTTTGTAATTTGAGCATTGAGGTTGTTTCCATTGTGGAGTCTTCAGCTGCATTACTGTGCCATGAGATGCATGCTGCAAGCATGCGCTTCATGCTGCAGGACAGGGTAAATGCATCCAGGGTAAACGCATCCTACACCAAAGAATGCTCTACTTCGATTTTTGAACATACATTCTATAATTGTGGTAGTTTGCATTCATTTTTGATGTATGAAGAAAAAACAAAAAATCCAGGCACAAATGACTCATCTTTCCCTTTGCACCCAGGAGGTCCCGGCCAATGGGTAGAGCTTCCTCAGATGCAGGGGGTGTGGCAGTGTCTGTCCCTCTCATTCTGCAAGACACTCCAATTCAGCAGCTGAGCAACACAGTCACACCTCAAGTTCCTCTCCTTCCTGCTAAGCAAACACCTCCCCGCTGTCTCCTGCTGTGAACTTGCCGTTTGTACTTTTGTAATAATGTTGAGGTACAGTTTCAGAAGTGCCTTTGAAAATAAGGCAGTGCTTGCACCTTTACTTGTGACCTATTTTAATACGTTTGCTGTAAATCATTACAAAGCAATAATGTAGAAGTTTTCTGTTTGTAAATATTGAATCTGTATTTAGCTTTTATTTTCCCTTTTGATATATAGATATATCTATCTATATATATAAAACATAGAAGTGTGTTTTTCTTTTAATTTAGAGGCCAATTTGACAAATCTATTTTCGCAATACCAGTACATACCATGGCCCACACTTGGATACAGTGGTTAAGACTTAATGTATGTAAAGTACATTAAATGTTTGCCATTCCTTTAGCCTGTGTTTTATTGCATATTACTATAAACAGTTATAGAACCTTTCCATAGTTGATGTCAATGGGTATGAACTCAAACAGGCATTTTTGAAACAGAGTTAACGCAATTCCTACTCATCTTTAAACCTTCTAAAGAGGCATTTCTTGATTTTCATAAATCTCAATCACAACCAGGGAACTTGGTAATGAGACCTACTTTTGTATAAAATAGTACAGTAAACCAGGGTAGGTCCTGCAATTTTTTTTTTTTACATTTTCTTTGGAAGGGGAGTCAAGTGTTGGCCATATATTTTAGAATCACAATAACAGTGTGTTCTTAAAAAAAAGTTTATTTCAGTATAAACAACCTATATCCTGACAAATACCTCAAAAGTACAAATCTTGAATGCTTCCAAATATTGTATACAGAGGCCTTCAATACAGTACAATTGTTATAGTATACGTAAGTACATACACAAGACAGTACCCCAGCTCACACAAATCACTACACAAATACATTTAGCAAAAGGGACATACTTGTGTGAAGTACTAAAATTTTTATATTTGTAACATGCTTACATACTTTATATAGATCAAATACCCCTGGCAACGAACAATCCAACCATCAACAGAACTCACAAAGATGCCTAGTCATCAGTGGACCAGAGTAAAACCTATAAAACTAGGTGTAATTGCCTTCGGGACTGGCCGGGAGTGAAAGGGGCTGCACGGTCTTAATTGAAACATCCCTTCGATATTGTAGTTATGAGAAGACGACAACGGAGGCCAAAAGCAGGAAACTCACTGCACTTCCCCAAGCATGGCTTCGTTAATTACCCAGAAGCCCACAGTGCAGAGATGCTGCTAACTCGTAATCAAAGCCACTTAAAAATATACATATGCTTTGAACTAAAACACTCAGATTTTTGAGACTAATCCAACACACATAAAGGCCTGAGAGGGAAACATTCCCAAAAATGTCCTCTGTTCCTTTGTATAAAACTTTCCAAGTATTTCTATGGCTGATCCATAACGGTTGGTTAAGAACTGGATAACAGTAATGAAAAATACCCTTAGAGGGGTCGCTGATAGCCACAGATGTGACTACATTTGGTCTTAATATCATTCTGCGTTTCAAGTTTGATGTCAGTTTGCAATAAACCCAACAGAAACATAAAGGTCTTACAATAAGTTACTGTGCTGCCTCAAGTACTGGGAGGGAGAAATTACACCACTGGGTTCAGCAGAAGAACTAGTGATGCCTTATGTGGTAAAAAAGAAACAGCATTCGAATGTATCAGAAGTCTGGCTGCCTACAAAAACCAGAAAGCAAATGGCACCAAATTCCCCAAATGTCACTGCAACAGCACTGTCAGTTCTGCGACCTTCACTTCACTGAATTCTGCTGATAGCTTGAAAAGTCACCATTCTTTGTCAGTCTGGTGGTTACACTTTGCTGGTCACTGGTGTGACTATACATTAGACCAGGAGTCTCCAACTCCGGTCCTGGAGAGCTACCGTCCAGTAGGTTTTCTATCCTACCTGGCTTCTGAAGAGCCGCAGGTGTGGCTCATCAGAAGCCAGGCAGACTGGCAGGCTCTCCGGGACCAGAGGTGGAGGCCCCTGACCTAGATTGAGTACCTGTCAGAGGTGAAAAGCTGCTTTGAATCCCATCAGGGGATTTTTAAAGGAAATTGTGACCTTTAAACATAACACTGACTTCCAGCATCCGGAGATCAGAGTACGGCTAAATATCACCCAGCAGGGGGCGACAGTCGCCTATCTCTGTACATGTCGGACGAAGGCTTGCACCAGCTGGAGAAAGGGCTCCTGGCCCTCAGGCACTGCCTTGGCCCCCGGCGTGGGGGGCTTGCTCTGCGGAGAGGGGAGCAGCCCGCTGGCCGGAGAAGAAGGGGACCCCCGTCGAAAGTAGCGAGATAAGCTGGACAGCAGAGTGCTCTGCAGGGAGAAGGGACAGAAGGATCACGTGAACACGCCTTATCCCTCAGACACCAAGCAGTAAACCATAAGGAGCAGCACTAGGGAGCAGTGAGGTCAGTGGGTTACCAGCTCTGAGCTTAGCTCCTGTTTCATCCGCTGCTTGTCCCTTAGGTGCACGCTGGGGTCCCTCAAGTAACGCACAGCTTGGGAGATCAATACATAGAAGCAATTCTCCATGGTGAACATCAGCAGAGACCTGCATGGGGGATGGGAGTCCAGATTTAGCCAGCGGTGGACGGATAACACGCCATACGGAATATAACCATTCATTCTATGTCTTACTTGAGAGCCTGAACTTCCTCAGATGATGCAAAGGTCCCTACGCTTATGGAAGCAGGCTCCTTTTTCTTCTCAACCTAGAAATGCCAGACGGGATTATAATCAGCGTGGGGGATCCCTTAATTAACATGACCAGAGCTGTAAACTAGCTCAGAATACCACCGGTTATTAAGTAGGAAATGGCGAAGACAATGCTGCCAGTCACCTCTCCCAGCATGCTTAGCGCCACATTGATGGTGGCAAGCAGCGTCCCGAACGACGGCGCAACGTCGGAGTCGAAGGCAGGCGCAGTGAAGCTCAGCACGAAGAGGGTGGGGTATTCCGCCAGGTCCAGGGACTAAATGGGAAACAGAACAAATCTGTCACATACGAGATTTGTTTCTGTGGGAAAACGACAATGTGTTCAATTTTCTTTCATGTAACATTTTAAGCAGCAAATTGGATTTAAAAACATGGAAATATTTTTGAGGTTCACATTGATGTCAAATGTTGCTGAAGTGTCATCTTTCCTTCTTAAGATCTCGCGGGGCAGAGAGATGTGTTCGGGGCAGAGAGATGTGTTCGGCACATCACCAGCCTGAGGGCTACCTGGTCCAGCAGGATCTGGCAGCAGTCGGGCGTGAAGTGCTGCAGCGTAGCCAGGGTCTTGCTGAGGATCTTCAGCAGGCTGCACTGCACCGCCAGCAGGGCCTTCTGCTCCGCCTCCTCCCACTCGCTGCCCCCTGGGGCAGAGCCCGCCGAGGCGGGCGCTGAGGACGTCGCCGATGACGACGTTGAGGTCGAAGCTGACGCCGAGGCCGCCACCCCCACCTGCTTAGACGGAGTCTGAGGCGCACGCTGGCTTCGGGGAAGGGGCCCGGGGGGCAGCATGTCACCGTTCTTAGTCTGCAGCACGAGGGAGGTGAAGGTAAAACACCATGAACTGTATCATAAACTGCAGTACTGTAAATACACAGCTTCCTACTGCCAGACAAGGAATCCAAAGTTTGCTTTGAGAGATTAGTTAGTTATGATGAGCCTATATTAGAAGGAATACCCTTTAAAGATTATGAGTGAGGCTGCAGTAATATGGAAGGCTAATTTATGTCTAATGGGAACCAGTACCTTAAATGCTGTAATATGTCTTCATTTTGAAGTGACATAAAAACAGAGCCCCCTTACCTGTAGGTAATGATGGAGCATCTTTTTGCTGTGTAGGAGGTATGTACAGGTCTGGCACAAGTAACACAGATTAACCTGCAGGGTAAATGATGAACAAAGGCACTCAGTGACCCATCGACGTAATTTAGCGTAACTCGACAGTAACAGGTCACTAAGCTAACGAGGGAGGGGGGGGGGGGGTCGCTAAGCCTCACCTGCACATCCCTTAGCAGCTGAGGGAGGTGAAACTGCCACTCCTTACAAAAGCTGGAGAGCTGAAGGAGAAAGCCTACGGTGTGGTCTGCTTCATCCAGGCAGGCCAGGCTCTGCACTGTCCGCACAGCATTCAGACACTGAGGGAGAAACAGGCAGGCTTATGCTAACCATATTGTCCTTACAGTCCATATTGTACTTACACACTATGCTGTTACGCTAGCTATGCTAAATGCACATAGTCCCTATGTTAATCTAGCTCAAAGTTTACGAGCAGTGCATACCTGGAGTATCCTCTCTTGGTGGACGCCTACGAAGTCTAATGCTTCATTAACAAAGTCATAGCGTAGCGTCTTGAGCAGGCTCTCCATGAGGGACAGGCAGAGGCGGTACACCCCCGGCCAGGATGGCGTGTCCTGAGACTTCCGGGAGAAGCCCAGGTTCTGGAGGACCAGGAGGGAGGAGGAGAAACGTGCCTGTTGAACAGCTCAGCCGGTACCAGAGTGTGACGGCGAGGCGGGTCCGCGAGACTCCTTACCTGCGAGGCTCCGTTAGCGCTCATCTCGTACACACTAAGCAGAGGCAGGCAGACGCTCTGGATGACACCGGCACCGGCCACAGCCGCAGCCCCCTGCGAGGCGGGGCACACGTTACACGTTACACGTTACTCATCACACTACACTGGGTCAGGCCAAAGAAACAGCAGGCTTCATAGGCTATTCAAAATGCAATTACAAATGTTATTACATTTTATTCTAATTCTTCTGTATATGCTTTACTCATGAATGCAGATTTATTAAAAATACTTATTTTGTAAAATAAGGAACAAAAGCTGAACAGGCATTTTGGTATGGTTAGGACTCGACCGGAAGGTCATAGGCTCAAATCCCGTGGCCAGCAGACTGATGCCACCGTGAACCCTTGAGCAGGACCCTTACACTCGAGTTTCAGGGGTGCTACATACTCGCTGACCCCGTGTTGTGACCCCCCCAAGCTTGCTCTCACCTGCATGTGTATGTGTCATGGAGTGTAAGATGGGGTAGATAGAGAGAATTTTGCCACGACAATGAATAAAGTATCACTATTCTCCTAACAGCTGAGACTGGCACACAGGATTTCTTGTTTTCCTTGTGTACAAAGGTACAGTTTCAGTTCACTGGTGTTTCCACATAAAGCCCTGAAAATACACTTGAAGGTCTCATGCGGATGACTGTTCCCCAAACACAGGCACCACTGGCGTCTGAATTTCCAGCACCCTTTCCAGAAATATTCCAGTTTCATTCACACATGTACCGCAGGCTCTGCTCGTGTTGAGCTTGGCTGAATGATAGTTCCCATTCCCCAGGTCTCATTTATTTTCCGGGGCTTTGCCAGACGTGGCTCAGCAGT